CAGATGCCTCGCGTGCAACGCGGATGCGCTCCTCTGCTCATGCCGCCGTGTCGGGCAGGGCCCGCGGCAGGCGTGTCGCCTCCCTGCCATCCGCGCCCGGTTGTGTTGATGGCGGTTGTCGCGATGAATGTTTTAGTCGTTTTTGAAGGCCCAGCCACGCCCGCGCGCCTATTAACTCTACTTACTCCGCCTCGCCGCTTCACGCGAGGCCGCTACGGCCAAATGTTGTATGTGCGCGCGTGTGCGTCCCCCTCATACATCGGAGGTCGTGGGCCTCAGGTTGGTGCGTTTGCACGTCTGTCGGCTGCGAGGCCTTCACAAGGGGCGGGGGCTCTCAGACCGCTTACACATGCTGTCCCGCGCTGCTACTAATTTGTTGTACGCCGTTTGTTCGGCAAAATGTGCGCGCTAGTTCAGACATCAGCGCCAATGATGTGCATGTGTAAGTGAGTGGGCGCGTGTATGCCTAATGTACTTCGCCTCGTTGCTGCGCGCGGGCCGCGACCGCCAAAAAATGTGTGTGTGTGTATGTGTGTGTGTGCGTGTGTGTGTGTGTGTGTGTGTGTGTGTGTGTGTGCGTGTATGCGTGCGCGTGCGTGCGTGCGTGCGTGCGTGCGTGTGCGCGTGTGTGGAAGTGTGTGTGTGTGTCTCCGCCTGACTCCTGTGCTGCTTCGAAGTTGCTCGACATCGTCACTGGGCCCTGGCTGCGCCTGCGGGTGCGTCCTTGCCTCGGCCCGGCTGCTGCCACGGTCGCCGCTGTTTCGGCCAGCCGTTCCGGCTCGCTCCACGAGGAACTCTTCCAGGTTGAAGCGCTCTTTCCTCCCCCCCCTGCTCGGCCGAACTCGCCATGGTCACTCTCCTGCATGCCGGTCAATCATAGCCAGTCGGTTTCCCCGAATTGCTAAACGGTGGAGCGGACCGCCTCTGCTTCGCCGCCGACGGGAAAAAGTGTGTGCCCGCCTGATCACCAGGCTGTGTAGACCGCCGGTCGCCGCCCGCCCTCTCCCCGCACCAGCACCGCCCGGCCACGCGCAAAGGGGGGCATGGGGGAGGGGGGAAGGCTTCCTGTACTTACTTCGAGCTGTAGAAAAGCTACAGTGCTGGCAGGCACACGTAATCAATCTAGAATCATCCGACGCGTTCGTCTTAAATCTATAGATGTCCGAACTCGGTTTGCTGCCGGAGCTGGGTCCGAAACGCTATTCGCACGTTTCCGAGAAGCACCCCTGCTCCTTGGAAGGCGCGGGCCTTCTCTGCAGATCTAAAGCCGGCGCCTTAAAAAAAATAACCTCCTCCTACGAAGCCTCCCTCCCCCCGCCCCCCCTGCGCGCGCCGCTGACGATCGCACGCCGCCCTGGAAGAGCGCAGCGCGCGTGCGAGCCACCTTGGGCCCCGGCGGCCCCACGCCCTGCGCATGCCGCGCTTGCCCTGCCACGCCCGGCACCGTGCGCCCCGCCCTCCGGTGCCCTTGCGTGCTCTTTTTGTTTTCCGGTGCCCTTTGCTCAGAGGAGGAAAAGGTACCCACACTCACCTCTACTGTGCTCTTTTGTTCTTCGGTGCCCTTTGTTCAAAGGAGGAAAAAGTACCCACACTCACCTCCACTCCGAGTTTCTGAATGACCGTCGGGGGGGCGTCGCCCCCGCTGACAGCCCCGCATCGACCCCCGTTGCGGGCAGCCACCGCGCGCCGAAGGCGCTCCGACCTCCGTCGCGGCGCGACGACGAGGCAAGGTTGACCCCCGTCGGGGCGGTATCCCCCCACGTTTCTGAAGAAACCCAGAGTAGGTATTTTTGGTTTCCCAGATTCCAATATACGTAAAGCGCCGCCTTCGCCCGTTTTCCGCGCGTTGTCCGCGCGCCGCCAAACCGCCTCGGTCTTGCCGCGCGGGCTGGCGCTGGGCATCGGTGTTCCTTGCCTCCGCCGTCCCGGCCCTGCGCGCCTCCGCCCTGCCGGCCGCCCCCCACCGCCCTCGCCGCCCCCGCCTATGGGCGACCCCCATCCAGCCTGAGTCGGGCACGCCTCTTTCACAGGACGAATATTCAAACTGTCACAAGAATACAATTGGGACGTTTGTTTGTTTTTTGGTTGTTGGGGACATGATGTATGGATGTTTAAATGTTCTCCCAAAGCCCGCCTGTAGGAGGACATGCCCGACCGAACCCTGCCCCTGGCGCCCCGCATCGGGCGCCTCCTCTCGCCTGCCCATTTCTGGCAGGCTCCTGCCTCGCCTCGCGCCTGGCGCCTGGCGCTCCCCTTCCCCCGCCGCCCTGGCTGCCGCCGCCCTCCTCCTCCTCCTCCTCCTCCTCCTCCTCCCTCTCCTCCTCCTCCTCCTCCTCCTCCTCCTCCTCCTCCTCCTCCTCCCTCCTCCTCCTCCTCCTCCTCCTCCTCCTCTCCTCCTCCTCCTCCCCTCCCCCTCCTCCTCCTCCTCCTCCCCCTCCTCCTCCTCCTCCTCCTCCTCCTCCCCCTCCTTCTCCTCCTCCTCCTCCTCCTCCTCCTCTTCCATTCCTTTTCTTTACAAATACGTTCTCCCTGTCGCACCCCGAGGCAAGTTTTTAGGGCGGGCCGGGCGTTTCGCCTGAGGCTTCCTCATCACTTCTGAGTCTGAAACATAGACATTGGCTGCAGTTTCACAGATGGAGGGCGGGCCGTTTTCAAAATGTGGCTTTCGCCTCAGCGTTGTGCGCATTTTTCCACAAACTTGCAAAACCTTCACGGATGGAGGGCGGGTCTTTTTCAAAATGTTGATCTCGCGCTAGCGCGGTACACATTCCTTTTACACATTTGCAAGAGCTTCGCGGATTGAGGGTGAGGGGTTTCTTCTGAGTCTGAAACATAGACATTGGCTGCAGTTTCACAGATGGAGGGCGGGCCGTTTTCAAAATGTGGCTTTCGCCTCAGCGTTGTGCGCATTTTTCCACAAACTTGCAAAACCTTCACGGATGGAGGGCGGGTCTTTTTCAAAATGTTGATCTCGCGCTAGCGCGGTACACATTCCTTTTACACATTTGCAAGAGCTTCGCGGATTGAGGGTGAGGGGTTTTCAAAATGTGGTTCTCGCCGTAGCGCGGCGCACATTCGTCTCAAACATTGCAAGAGTGTCACGGATTGAGGACGGTCTTTTTCAAAATGTGGCTCTCGCTTTGGTGCGGCGCACATTCGTTTTACACAGTTGCAAGAGCTTCACGTATTGAGGGCGGATCGTTTTCAAAATGCCGTTCTCGTGTTAGCGGGGCACACATTTCTTTTCTCCACATGTGCAAGAGCTTCGCGGATGGAGTGTGAGGGGGTTTCAAAAGGTGCCTCTCGCTTTAGCGCGGTGCATATCCGTCTTGAACATTGCAAGAGGTTCACGGATTGAGGGCGGTTCCCTGTCAAATTGTGGTTATCGTTTTAGCGAAGCGCATGTTCGCTTTACACATTTGCAAGAGTTTCGCGGATTCCCATCATCAACGTACCAGAAATGGTGTTTTGGAAGAAGTCCGGAGTATGCGGGTATAGCGGTTCCGTTGGTTCTTTGTGTTGAAGTCCTATAGTTGGCAGTCTGGCACGATTCAGGATCGTCAAGACGCAACAGTCAGGTTGATCCGTGACGTTGGAATCAAAATAATAATGTATTGGCATGATTCAGGGTCTTCAAACGGGTGTCTTCCAACGGGGCAGTTCCATCAGTTGAAATGAACCGTTGTAATAGGGGCCTCTGAGGAGGGAGCTTGGAGGGAGGATTTACTCCAACATCGTTGGTGACTCTTGGGTTTCCACTGGTCCTCCTCATCCTCCTCATGCTCCTCCTCCTCCTGCTCCTCCTCCTCCTCCTCCACCTCCCCCCCCCTCCCTCTCCCCCTCCCCCTGTTCCTCCTCCGGCTTCTCCTCCTCCTCCTCCTTCCTACTCTACTTTCTCTTCCTCTTCCTCTTGATCATCCCCGTCCTATTTCTATTTCTATTCCTTCTCCTATTCCTCCTCCTGTTCATCCTCCGCCTCCTCCTCCTGTTCATCATTATTTTCCTCCTCCTCCTCCTCCTCCTCCTCCTCCTCCCCCTTCTTCTCCTCCTCTTTCCTATTATATGTACTCTTCCTCTTCATCTTCCCCTTCCTATTCCTATTCCTATTCCCATTCATCCTCATATTCCTCCTCCTCCTCCTCCACCCCCTGCTCATCATTCTTCTCCTCCTCCTCATCCTCCTCGTCGTCGTCCTCGTCCTCCTCCTCCATCTCCTCCTCCCCCTCCTTCTCCTTCTCGCCCTCTGAGGGCCCGGCTCCTTCCTTTCCAGCCGCCGCGTGCGCGGCCGCGAGACAGACCAACGGCATGGCGAGGCGCTTGCCCGTCAACGACCGCGTGTGTTTTCATAGTGTACGTAACTGCGTGCAGACATCTTTATTCAAAGTCGGGTCACTCTTCCCGTCTTGGTACTACGGGAACGAAGAATGATGTAAACATACAATACTCGGAGGTCCGCGCGGATTTCTCGGATCGGCGTTGGAGCCCTTTGGCGGCGCCTCCAGCGCCGCCCCAGGCGCGCTCCGCGCGCCAGGGAGGGGGGTCCAACGCCGATCCGAAAAATCCGCGCGGACCTCAGAGTTTTTATGTTTATGGCATTGTTTCCCTGGGTACACAGTATCGGTCAAGGCGATTCCCCGTTGAGTTTGACTTGCGCCCTACCCGCCGTCCCAGCGGAAGCGAGGGAAGGGATTTTCATGCTGTTCGGTGGGACGTCGCGCGACCTTGCTTCCCCATCCATGCCGCATGCGTCCGATCGAGGGGACCATTCATCCTGGTTGGTTGGCCTTGAGCTGGCTTGTGACCGTCTGATGATGTAAGCAGGTCGCGAGAGGAGCAGGCAAGCCTATTGTCGCTCATCTGCCAGCTGGCTTCTCGAATATGTCTCATCCTCTTCTGTCTGCAGCTGCACTTGCTGTTGCTGCTGCTCTTCCAGGAGGACACCGAAGCAGCGCTGCTTGTCCATGGTGGTCGCAGGAGAATGTATGTAGTCGGGCTGCCAGGCTGGGTGTTCGACTCCATCGGCGGAGAGACCATCATGGCAGAAATGAAGAACGTGGACACCACGCCAGTGTGGTACCCTGTAGCAAGGCCCAAGGCGGGCCCCCTCCTTTTCTGCGGCAGCGACTACTACGCGCTGGCACCGACGCTTAATGGGTCCACCTTGAGCCCAGTATTGTTGCATGCGCACGCTCCTGGCTTGGGGCCCTCGCACCGACCTTGGGCGCAGGGTGGGCCTGAACAGGCGAGCAGTAGGAGGAGGAGGAGGAGGAGGAGGAGGAGGAGGAGGAGGAGGAGGAGGAGGAGGAGGAGGAGGAGGAGAGGAGAGGAGGAGGAGGAGGAGGGGGAGGAGGAGGAGGAGGAGCGGCGTCAGCGCTTGCCCTCAAAGTCCGACGTCGCGAACAACAGCCACAACGGAGGGGACCCCGAGCCCTCAGCCCTGCCCTCGGGCGGGGCTCCGCACGCCGACTCCGTGCGCCTGGGCCCGCGGACCGACACCCGGCCCGTGGGCGGCAGCTCTGGCCCCACAGGCCCGTCCCCATCGCTCGGCACTGAGCCAGCGCCAAGGCCGAGAGCGCCGCGCGTACAGTCGGGGCGCTAAACAAGGAACCCGTTTCGTTGGGGAGGGGCTCCGTGTTCCTTACTTGTTTCGCAGCTTGCCTTAGGTTGTCCTTAGGTTTTCGATGGGGAATCGAAGTTTAACTTATTGGAAAAAGGGGCCTCGTTCCTTATTTAGGGTTCCTTAGGTCAACGCCCCGACTGTAGGCTCAAGGCGGTGGCGCCCTGGACGAGGCCAGGCGCGGCCACCCCTGGCCCTTCTTTTCTCGCAGGCCCATGGGCGGCGTCGTTGCGCCGGCGACGGCTCTGAACAGAGCCCCCCATCGTTCATGCTTCGCGACGTCGGAGGTCGGGGTTGGGTGGCGTGCTCGTGTTTCTGCGCTCCGGCCTTGACCCTTGGGGTGGTACCCGCCCCCGCATTGCGCCCCGCCGCCGCCGGCCCCCTGGTGCAGCAGCCGCCGCGGCCCCGCCAGCGGGGCTGGCCGCGCCACGCGCTCTGGGCGTGACCCGTCCCCCCGAGCGGCCTCGCTCCCTTCTTCCCTTTTTTCGGCCGCGTCCTCTGCCCTCTCCCCTCCCCTCTGCATGGGGGCACAATTCGCTACAACGGCACCCCCGTTTAGGTAGCCCTCCGCCAGCGCAGATACCTTGCCTAGCCGCCGACGCAAAAAAACGAATAAAAGATAAAAGGAAAAATGATGATAATAAGAGTAATACTAATAAGACTAAGAAGAATGAGAAGAAGAAGGAGAAGAAGAACAACAATAATAATAATAATAAGAATAATACTAATAATAAGAAGAAGAAGCAGAGTTGCGCTCCGCTGCTGTGTGTGTGGGGGGGGGCCGGCGTGAGTTACCGATCGCCTGCCGCCCTGGAAGAGCGCAGCGCGCGCGCGCGAGCCACCCTGGGGCCCCGGCGCGCGCAACGTGCCTTCCCGTCCACGCCCGGCCCCCCTTCCTCCTGCGCCCCGCCTTGCGTTCCCCTTCTGTTCGAAGGAGACAGCACGACTACATAACATGAATTGTTGGCGTTCCGCGCGGATTTCTGGGATCCGCGCAGGGCCACCCTGGCGGCGCCTCCAGCGCCGCCCTTGGCGCGCTCCGCGCGCCAGGGAGGGGGGTCCAGCGCAGATCCAAGAAACCCGCGCGGAGCGCCAATAGTTTATGTGTATGTCGTTGTTTATTATGTTTTTCGGTGTCCCTTGCTTCTTCTTTTCGAAGTGGCTTCATACAGTCAACCCGCATAGTAGGGATGGGCAACCTTCCAAAGGGTACCCTTGCATCCCTCCCTCCTCGGCCCATCCCTGGCCACTTCTGTTGGCCGCGCCCCGCTCGAGAAGCTTCGAGGCGGCCTTGTAAGGCCCTTGCGTCCTTATCGCGCGTCCTTGCTCTACGGGTTGACTGTACCTCTCCCGGGGCTGTTTGGACATAGGATTCGCCCTCGAGGGCCACTTTGTCGCCACGGCTGGACGCGGCTCGAACAGCTTGCCTGGAGGTGCACGCTTGCATCCTTGCCTCATCGGACCACCCTTGGCCACTTTCGTCGGCCGCGCCCCGCTCGAAAAGCTTCGAAATGGGCATTCCCTTGCATCCTTACCGCGCATCCTTATGACACTGGTTCACTGTAGGCAGCCCTCGCGCAAATGTTTTTCCTCGTTTGCCCAAAGTCTGCGTCGTTGCGGGAGCTTTGAACCCGCTTCGGCATCACTTCGAGATCGTTCCAGTAGCTTTGTTGAGACCAAGGGAATTTCATCGCGCACTGCCGCGCCATCAGTCGTCATCTTCACGTGTGGATCCCTCAGGGGTCCATGGTGTGCAGTGGAGGGCAACGGCGGGAATGAAGGTGTTGATGAGCGGACTTCTTCTGGAGAGGCAGGATGTTCTCACGCATGTCTGCCGAGGAGAAAGGGGAGGAGCTGGATGGGAAAGGTGGTAACCGATGTTCTCGCAGGTACAGGGCCATTGCCGCGGGCAAGATTTTCCTCCACAAGGCTGCACCCCATCTTGCTACAAGTTTTCGATGTTTCCGATGACATTCATGCGTCGCGGTTGTTCGATCTCAGCTTCTGGCATCGAGTTGATTCGCCCTCGCCAGTGGTTGCAGCACCCAACGCACTTTCCGTGTCTTGAGTTTGCCCGCCCAGAAGCTCTCGGGGCTGGACAGAACCCTCAACAGTGACACGTCGATTAGTGAATCGTCCGTCTTCGGTTCTCGAGAGGGCGCCGTGGCCGTTATTTTCCAGGCTTGCGCCCGCCAGGTTTGGGCCTCAGGTCGTTTTCACTAAACCACGTTTTGCTAAAGGTCTGTCCATCCCCGACAGAAGCTCAGCATGCTTGCGTAGCGAAAGCAACGACACGCTTTGGCAACGGCGCCACGCCGAGATTGCGGATGTATCCTGCGTGCTCGGAAGAGTGTACGCGCACAGGGGTGGCCAGCCCCGAGCACAAGCCAGGAGCGTGCCGGTAGTGTGAAGAGGAGATTTCTGGTAGGAGTAGCCGCGGAGAAGACGTCTCAGAGCAGACGAGGCATGCTGATAATTCTGCGCTCGCAGAAGTATGGCAGGCCCAGAGGTTGACACCAAGACCAAAATTGGCTTCGTGCCTCAACCGAGGAGAGATGATCCCGATTTCGGTGATGGTGGTAATACTCTGGCTTCCTAGGCGGCCGAAATATTGACACCAACACCGAAATCTATGATCCTCTTCCCCCGGTGGGCGCGCCCCCCTGTTTTGGTGTTGGTGCCAATTACGAAGCCTCCAAAAGTAGGAGCTGGGGCGGTGTGAACGCTAGTCATGCTGTGCCACCGTTCTTGCCAAACGGACGTGCGCCGTGGTGTCACGTCCTCGCCTCCCTCGGAGTTGTTTTCTCTCCTCTACCGCCGCCTTCCCCAGCCTCTCTTCTCCCGCTCCCTCCATTATTTTTGTTCCGTCTGTTGCAATCTTCTACTCTGTGAGCGGCTGCAACGGTTCCGTGGCCCCAGCCGTTGAGGGAATGCTGGGGTCCTAACGCAGCGGGCTTGTGAAGGTGGCATGGGGGTCGATCGCTTTGAGAGCAGCATCGGGTAGAACACAGGGCCTCTGCCGGGGGGTCCCCGAGACCGCCCCACGAGAACCCCAAAGCGCTCCAGACTGCACAAGGTGGAGCCTTCACCCATTCCCAGGAGTGACTTCCCCACCCCCTCGCCCCTCGGGGGCGGCAAAGAGGGGGGTGATGACTAGGAGGGGGTGGATATCATGGCGAGGGCCATGATATTTCCCCAGATTTCATGGCGCCGGTTCTTATTTCATTACGTCCCCGCCCCCCTTGCCCCGTGGCCGCGTACATGCCGCCGGCCATGATTTGCGCCCCCCCCTCTTGGACGCCCCCCTCTTGGACGCCCCCGACCCCCCCCGAAGCTGCCCGAAAGCGGAATCCAGCGGGTTCCGAAGTCCGTCCGCCAGAACGTGCCGCCGCCCGCAGGAGGGAGAGGGAGCTTGCACCGAGGGAGAACTCGACATCGCTTGGACGCGTGCACTTTTTTCGGTGAGTGCCATCGAGGAGCACCCTGGATCATCTGGCAACACGAATCACGCACGAAATCAAGCAATGCACGGTCAACTTTTTTCATTCGGCGTTTCGATCTTGGGCGGAAGGGGGGGAGGGGGGAGGTCTGGCTCTGCTTAGTGCGACTGCTTGGAGCAGTGCGTCCTATGGGGGAGACTCCACCTGCTCGAGACTGGCGCCAAAAACAGCCAAGATCTACTCCATGGGGGGGGGAGTGGAGTGTGCAAGGGCCCGCGCCGATCGGCAAAACAACAAATTGAAAGACGATCACAATGGAAGTCCGAGCGATGGCGAGGAACGGGAAAGCTTTGGGGGAGGGGGCGAGGAGGGGCAGGCGGATGGGCTGCAGGGAAGGGGGAGTCCGCGGAGGCCTGGAGGAGGAGGAGGAGGAGGAGGAGGAGGTGGTGGAAGAGGAGGATGTGGAGGAGGTGGAGGAGGAGGAGCAGGAGGATGAGGAGGAGGAGCAAGGAAATGATGATGACGATGACGATGACGATGACGATGACGATGACGATGACGATGACGATGATGATGATGATGATGATGATGATGATGATGATGATGATGATGATGATGATGATGATGATGATGACGATGATGACGATGATGATGATGGTGATGATGATGATGATGCCGATGATGATGACGATGATGATGACGATGACGATGACGATGATGCTGATGATGATGACTATGACTATGATGATGCTGATGATGCTGATGCAGATGCTGATGCTGCTGATGATGATGATGATGATGATGATGCTGAGGATGATGATGATGATGATGACTATGACGATGATGATGCTGATGATGATGATGATGATGATGATGATGCTGATGATGATGATGATGATGATGATGATGATGATGATGATGATGATGATGATGATGATGATGATGATGATGATGGATGCGAGGATGATGAGGATGCGGAGGAGGAAGAGGAGGAGGAGGAGGAAAAGGAGGCCTTGAGGAGGAGGAGGAGGAGGAGGAGGAGGAGGAGGAGGAGGAGGAGGAGTAGGAGGAAGAGGAAAAGGAGGAGGAGCAGGAAAAGGACGAGCAGGAGGACCATTCAAATCTCAGGTGCCTTCGGCGGCGACCGAGGGGGGGGGAGATGGAGAAGGCCTTCTCAGACGGCGGCGAGGCTTCTCAGAAGCCCTCGCGCTTCCTGCGAGGTTTTTTCGTGTCGTCGTGTCAGGCTTCCAAAGACTCACAGCAGGCCCGGGGACTTCCGAGCTTTCTGATAATACACAGAAAGCATCTATACACCACCACCGTGCCAGGCCAGGGCCATGCTGGGCCCTCCCTAGGATGGTGTATACGCCCTCCTGGCCGAGCCAGGAGGGTCTATACACCATCCTACGGCCCAGGATGGCCCTGGCCTGGCACGGTGGTGGTGTATAGATGCCTTCGTCGGATGAGAAGGCCTTCTCCTTCCCACTTCCCCTCTGGGCCAGCCGCCGACCGAAGCAGCTCAGAACTGCCCCACGACGGCTCCCCGCCAGCCCCCCGAGAGCCCGCGGGGCCCCCAAGGCTCCTCGCCAGCCCCCGACAGCAGTTCCTGTTCAGTTTGAACAGGACTTGCTGTCGGTGCCGCCGCGGCCTGTGCCCATTTGGGACAGAAGGCCGCCTGCCCAACAGCGGTTTCTGTTGGTTTGGGACAACATGTTTTGTTGGGCAATGTCCATATTTTTGTCCGTACCCATTTCGGGCGTCCAAATACACAGGTTTCGTTCCTTTAGCCCCCAAGGCGTTTTTTTTTTTCAGGTGGAAATTGAGCGCCGAAATGGCTCCCTTTCCCCTCCTGCGTGGCTTTGTTGAAACCCATCCAGAGCAGACCCCCCAGCCGCTTCCTTCGAGGCCACAGCAGGTGGGCGCAACGAGAGGGGAGGGGCAATCTAGTTGCGCTCGCGTCATATCTGATGTCCTACCCCCCCATCCCTTGCCACTGCGTAGAGCCCTTCTCGATTCGTATAGTCGGATGTCGAAGAGGACAGCGATCCCCGAAGGGCACGCGATGTATAGCATGGCTACGGCATGGCATTGCTTATTCAAGCATTGCATATCGTTGCATTGTAGCGCCATGCATGGCGTCGCATAGTTGCACATAAATAGCATTGCTTGGCATACCACTGCATGGCTTGGCACTGCGTAGCCCAGTTTTGCATATCACAGCAGTGCAGCGCCAGGCATAAAACCGCATTGCTGTACTGAGCACGGCATTGAGTTGTATAGATGCATGAACGGTGAAGCAGAAAAACATGCTGAAGGACCGACAGTGGAGATGAGGCCAGTGCTGTAATGGGAGCACCATGCGGACGGATCGACCATGCGGACATGAGCCCCGCGCTGCGGCGGGAGCGCCGTTGGGAAGGACCGAAAACGCGAACATGAAACCCGCGCTGCAGCGGGAACACAGTTCGGAAAGGTATACAACGCGGACGTGACACCAGCGCTGCAGCGGGAGCACCGTTCGGAAGGACCGAAAACGCGGAAATGAGACCAGCACCGCAGCGGGAGCATGATTTTAAAAGGACCACAAGCGCGCACAGGAAGCCCGCGTTGCAGCGGGAACACCATTTTGAAGGACCGAAAGCAGTCGGATGGGACACAAACATAAAAATACATCATTGAAATCCTGAGCGTGAGAGGGAGGCGGGAGGTGGAGGGAGTGAGGGGGGGCGAGGGGAGGGTGGCACGATGGGAGGGTCGTTGGCCAGGTCAGGTCTGGAACCTGCCTCTAGTGTACACATGTGTCGATGTCAATGCTCATAAAGCTGATGGGGTGGGTGCTGAGGGGGCCTGGGAGCATCGCGCATTCTCGGCGAGTTTGCCAGAGGTGCCTTCGTATCACAGGGCCACCATGAACGGGCTCATCCTGGGCACCAAGGAGGTCTTCGTGGTCGATCTGAGGCTGCCGCCTCGGCTTGCTTGTGTATTTCAGGAGGGAAAAACCATACAGACACAAGTAATTGTCGATTCCCCAGAAAATATGGGAAAATATGGGAAGTGGGGGGGAAGACAGAAACCCCGAATATATATGAAACTATGGGGAATCCTGTTATTTGTATGTATTTATTTGTGTGTCCCAGGGCCCCTTCAGTATTGCTGCTCTCTGCGTTGGAACCCCACACCCCGACGTCGTAATTCATTCAGCCGCGTTGCGCACTCCGCCTGCCCATGTCGCATCATCCTTGCCATTTGCCTGTGCTTTCGTGGGCTCTGGGAGATTACTGGGTGATGGTAGTTTCCCCAAGCTGACGTGACAATCTGGCGAGGGAAATAATCACCACCCACCAAGTCACCCCAACCCAACCCGAAGACTCAGATTTATTTACCCTCGATTTCTAGTAGGGGGGGGCGGGAAACATAGAGAAAACACGCGTGGAACCCGTACCCCCCCCAACCCGAACTTCGGGGCGTCGGGTTGGGTTGGGGTGGTCTGGCAGGCAGTCAAAAAAGCAGTCGCTGGGCATATTACGTGCAACACTCAACTGAACACGTTCACACCCAAGGTTCGGCATCGAAGCCTGAAAGCACGAGCTGGCATGTTTTGCGCCTTCTTGGGCTTGCCGGAGCATCTGCGGGAACCCTTGGGGGTCTTTGGTAGGCTTCAGAGCGTCTCTTGGGTGCGCTTCTTGGGGCCTCTTGTGAGTTGTCTTGGACCAGTCTGGCTCACCTTTGGACCATCGCGGGGCCTCTTGGAGCTGGCTTGGGGCTACACTGTAGTCATCCTGAGGCCTGTCGTCCATTGGTCCCTGCCTCTGGGCCCCCTTGGACAAGGGCCCGTTTTTCGTCCCGTTTTTCGTCTTCGGGCGCGTGGCGGCTCGGTCCGCTGCGGTCTCGCCCGTTTTTCGGCTCCAGCGCGTTGCGGCCTCGGCCTGTCTCGGCTTCGCCCTGTACCGGCTTCCGCCTGGTTCGGCTGCGGCCAGTTTCGTCTCCCCGGCTGGGGTGCGAGCGCGAACCTGAAAGCCGAACGGGTCACAGCCGAGACGGGCCAGGACGAAACGGGCTGGAGCCGAAGCGGGCCCGGACGAAACGGGCGAGGACGGAACGGACCGAAGTCGAAACGAACGGATGAATCGGGCCGAAGCCGAAGCGGGAGTTTGGGCCCGTTTGCGGGCGTTGTTTTATTCATTCTTTTGCCGATCGGCGCGGGCCCCAAAGCCCCCCGTCCCCCCCCGATGGAGTAGATCTTGGCTGTCTTTTGGTGCCTGTTTCGAGTGGGTGGAGTCTCCCCCAAAGGCCGCACTCTTGCAAACAGTCTCACTGAGCAGATGTCTGGAGCCAAATCCCCCCTCCCCCCCCCTTCCGCCCAATGTCGAAACGCCGATGAAAAAAACCTTCACTTTCGGCTGCATCACAGAGGATGAACAGGAAGCGAGGTCAGGAACCTGAACGAAGCTCGGAAGCCTTTGTAGTAGGAGGTGCTCCTAACCATGACCTCGTCCACGCTCCCCCACCAAACCCAGACCCGGCCGTAGAAGCATCTGACCTCATTCGTTCCCAACCGAATTCAGAGCCGAGCGCCCCTCTGCAGCCCGAACCCTGTAGAGGCGTGCGTGCACATAGCCATCTTTTGGGGACTCTTGAACATCGACGTGCGTCAGTGTCGTTTCGTCCGCAGCGCTCCTCTCTCAAGCCTGCTGCCTCGGAGAGCGGAAGGGCCGCCCGCTCTCCCCGGGCCCGCGGAGCGCGCTCGGAGTGCGGCATTGCCCACCCACCTCTTGGCGGCGCCGGCGGCGGCAGCGGGCGGCCCTCTGGGACCGGGGCTGGCCGGGGGCAGGCAGAGGGGCCCCCCCGGCGCACCGGTCGTGGGCCAGTCGTGCTCGGCAGAGGGACCAGGGCTGGCCGGGGCCCGCTGGGACGGGGCCAGTCGTGCCCTGGGAGCCTCTCTGGAGCTCTGCGGGGCCTCTTATGGGGGCCCTCCTGGGGACTCTTGGGGTTCTCCCGGGGCCTCTTCGGGACCTCTCGGGTGCCTCTGCGGGACTCTACACGGTGCCTCTGGCTGCTCCGGGCAGGGCTGCCCGGGTCGCCCCGGGGTGCCCGCCTGCCAGCTGGCCCGACCGGCTCGGAGCCGCCGGCGGCCGTCGCAGAAGCGAGGGCCGGCGGGCTCCTGGCGCGGGGCGGCCGGAGTACGGGAGTGGGCCACGGGGCCGACGCAGAGGCGCTCGGCTGGCGGAGCGGGGGCGTCTCGGGACGTCCCTGCTGATGCTCGGGGCTGGCTGGGCGTGTTGGAGTGAGCTGCAGTCAAACGACGCGAAGATCGGGACAAAATCGGATCGGGATAACTCGAAATCTCTGAGAATCGGCGGGTTTGGAGGATGTATTGGGCGCCGCGGCCGCTCCAGAGCGTTCCGGAACGCTCTGAGAGCGCTCCAGAACGCTCTGGAGCGATTTATCCCGATCCTAGCCCTGAAAAAGAAGGCCCGGCGGACGTTCGGAGTACAGTATCGGTACGACAGTGCCGACCACGAGCGGCTGGGTCTGCAGGATCGCCGGGGTATCTTCGCCCCTGCCTTCGATGAGTACGTTGAGGCCGTGGCGGTCGTGCCCGACGCCGCCATCATCCAGGCCTATCCCCGCGGGTTCGCGATGGGCTACTGCGACCACTTCTCGCCTGGCGACGAAGTCGAAGTTATGCGTCGGCGCTCCGTGCGAGCCGGGCCCGACGACCTGCTCCCGCTGGACGGCACGTGCTGCGTCCAACGTCGGCCGGGCCGCTGTGGGAGTCGCTGGGCCTGGAAACCGAGGAGACGACCGCCAAGATGGACAGCGACCTCGCCTCCTCGGCCAAGCATGTCGGCCAGCTTGGGGGAGCCTCGCGCCAGTGGCTTCTTTTGTGGCAGGGGGTCGCGCCAGATGGACTACTACGAGACGAAGGTCCTGTGATTCGCCCTCTGCTACGCCGGGTGCACGACCAGCTGAGCGCGGGCGCCTCGCCTCGCTGAAGACGCTCAGCCCCCGGTTCCGGACCATCATCGACGCCTACGAGAACCCGCCGAGGGTGCCATGGGAGTGCGCGAAGCTTGACGTAGACACGGGCACGCCCGACAACTGGGTCAATTCTTCCGTCCAGTCCCATGTAGCTTGGCGTGCCAAGGACTGCGCCGACGTCATCGGGGCCCTCGGGGTGGGCGTCGGTGCTCGCGGCCCTCGCGGCAGCCCCGCGGCCGCCGCGGAGGGCAACGTGGCGGGCGACGCTGGCGCGGGCAGCGGGGGCCCAGACGAACGCGGAGGAGGACGCGGCGGCGGTGGGCGCGGGGGCGGCGGCCGAGGCCGCTGTGGACTCGCGCCCGCTGCCGCCCGCCCACCATGAGCAGCAGCGCCGCCGAGCGGCTTCGCCTTGCCCTCGGCGGGCAGTCGGTGGGCGTTGGGAGCCCCCCCCCAGGCGGGCGGCCGAGGTGGGACTTCTTTCCCTTGCCTGTTCCTGCGTCACCAGCTGGGCCTGCCACCTCCATTCGCTCGGCAAAGATGGCATGGGGCCAGGCTAAGCAGCGCAGCGAGATGGTTCGGGAGGCGGCCCACGGATTGAACACGGACTGAACTGGCTAGCCAGCTACGGCACCTGGGGCCTTGCCCAAGGGCTGGCGACGCCAGGTATTATGACGCCCGAGGCGAGGGCCCGCGTGGAAGGCCTGGTCAGCCCATGCCTGAAGCCCCCTCGGGGCGGGGGGCCCAGCGGGACCTCTTGCACGGTCGGCCCCTGTGCGAGCTGGAGACCGGCTCCGCGAACCTCGCGAAATTCAGCGCTGACCTCGTGTCCGTGCCCAAAGACGTCTCGGGCCCCCCCAAATCCAGTCGCTACTGGCCGCGGAGGTCTCTCGTTACTCGGAGGCCCATCATGAGCTAATGCTGCGACCCGAGACTGGGATCGACGACGTGGAGATGAGGCGCGACGGATCCCGCCGTGTACCGGTAGGAAGCTGCTATTGAACAAGAGGTCGTATCGCGATTTCGTCGCGAGGAGTCTCCGGGACTTGGGCATGTTCGACGCTGCGCTCAGGCCGTGGGGGAGGACCAGGATCTTCTTCGTCCGCAAGGGCAACGAGACGCGCCTCAGGCCGATCATGGGCGCCAGGAGGAGCAACGGCTGGTTCTGCCACCCGCCGGGCGCTCGGCTCTGCGCCTCAGATGCTCTCGCGAACATCCAGGCTGACGACGGGGACCTCATGCCAAGACAACCTGAAGGTGCACCTGGGCCTGGCGGACGTGAAGGACTGCTTCCACCGCCTCAAGGCCCCCGTCTGGTTCCGGCCCTTCGCCTGGCCGGAGGCGCCCGCGCGGGCGTTGGGGCAGACGGAGCTGGGCGGCGCCCAGCTCAGGCCAACCGACGCAGCGTGGCCCACCTCGGCCTCCATCGACACTTTGCCCAGGAGGCCGACGAGCGGCTGGCCGCGGCCGTGCTCGGCCAGCGCGGCTCGGAGCTCCTGCGCGACCCGTCGCCGCCCGCGGGCGGTGCTCTCCGAGGGCCCTCCCCGTCGCTGCGCGCGCGGACAACAACCGTGGCGCCGTTTCGCGGGGCGAGAGGGCCGCGGGGGAGGCCGTCCGAGAGCGGGGGTTGGGCTCCGGAGAGCGCGGGCTGGGGCTACGCGGGGGCGAGGCGTTGAGCGAGGACATGCGCGCCTCGGGCGGTCGGCTTGACGGCCGCTGCGCCCGAGCATTTTGCGAGTGGGGAAGTGCTCCGTCGCGGCAACTGTTCAGGTTGGGCCCTCGAGTGCTGGTTTGGCCGCGCCATTCTTGTGAGTCTCATTCAGAGGGGGCTCTCGTCCGTTTTCCATGCCTGCTATCGATGCTGTCGCACCCGCTACGCCGACGACGCTGTCTTGTGGCCCTCGGTTCTCGATGGGATCCGTGCGTGGAAGGGGCTGGTGGTCTCGTTGGTTCAGAACTGGGGGCTTTGCTGGAGTGAG